CGCGACGAAACTGGCTTCAGGACTCACAGCTTCACTGTCCGGTTCTGACATGGCAAATTTATTACACCTAAACGCTTAAAACATACAGTTCAATCATAACACGATTTCTTCTGATATTTTTGAAAGAAATTTGACGGCGAAATTTTTATTAAGGATCAAAATAAATGAGTCGAGCACAGGTTTACACTGACTTGAAAGTGTTTGACCGCTGCTATGGTAACCGTGGTGCCACTAGTGATGTACGATTCGCAAATGAGTCGTTCTCTTGAGCCGATTCTTTTTTAAAGATTCGATTGAACCGATTCACAAAGCGTTTGTAATTGAACGGGATGACTTAGTTTAGGAGTAATTAAAACACTAATACTGTTAGCAGTTTATTTAGAATTAACCTTTAAAAATATAATTTTATAAGAATATGGTCTATTACCCTTACAAAACTGACCTTTGTAATAGCATCAGAGGCCACTTTATGTAGGCTATGTATATGCAAATATATAGGCTATATAATAGAATAAGTAATAGAAAAGTTAATTATCTCATGTGATATCACTTCCCAGAGTATGACAACATATTTTATTCAGGTGTGTGTTGCCTAAAAGTGACTACAATAGAAACAGACTATATCTAATGGAATGGCATTTAATCCATGGCATTTCATTGGCAATGGAAGCAGGTCATGCTTGGATATAAAAGCTCATGTCATTTGGTGGTAAGAAACTTGACCTTGATGAGTCTCGTCACATAGGTGAGCCTGCAGCTATGCTTACTGAAAGGTTCATGTTTGTAAATATAACTCATTTTGCTGCACTTTGCTCTGATTGGCTCAAATAGTCATTGAGGCTGTTATTACATGGTCTCTGATTCATGGGACATTTTTTTAGATAGGCATGTTATATTGGACAGGATGAATGAAGATGAACTTACCGATTATCTCATTCAGCTGACCATTGAAGAGTCTTGTCACGAGGCATTTGCAATATCGAAAAACGGGTATGTATGTTGTTCACATAACATCATCTAAACTAACACTTTGGTTTGAATGATTGATTGGTTCTTTTTTATTATATGTATATGTTTTCATGGAAACTGAATAGTTAAAATAGCAAAAAAAAAATACTTTGCTTAACATTGTTATATTCTTGAAGCTCCACCAGTGATGAGAATTCGAAACTGCTGGCAGCAATCGAGACAGGTAATGGATAAAATATAAAATATTTGAGAAAAAAAAAAGAATTATATATGTACACACACACACACACACACACACATACACACAGTGCAGCTTGAAAATTTGTGAACCCTTTAGAATTTTCTATATTTCTGCATAAATATGACTCAAAACAATCAAAGTTTAACACAAGTCCTGAAAGTAGACAAAGAGAACCCAAACAAAGAAATTACACAAAAATATTTTATTTGCCATTTATTTATTTATGAGAAAAATTATCCAGTGTTACATATCTGTGAGTAGCAAACGCATGTGAATCTTTGCTTTCAGTTTCTGGTCTGACCCCCTTTTGCAACAATAACTGCAGGTAATGTTTCTTGTAACTGCTGATCAGTCCTGCACAACATTGTATTACCAAAATACCATGCCCCAAACAATCATGGTTATAATACCACAGTATTACCAGAGGTAAATTATGTTTCACCAGTTGCTGTTGAGCTTCCCACACCACTGGATGAAAATGTCTGGTTGGATTCACTTCCTTGTTGGTTTATACTGTCTTGGTCTCTCTGGTCTTCAGTTGAATCCGCAATATGTTCTTCTTGTAAAAGCATGTCAGTGGCGGTACAGCTGTCCACTTTGATCTCGTGCGTAGATTTAGCATTTTCACCGTCTTCATGAACTTCATTCTCGGTCTGAATGACTTCTTGTAACACCCTTTGCTGCGCGACGAAACTGGCTTCAGGACTCACAGCTTCACTGTCCGGCTCTGACGTGGCAAATTTATTACACCTAAATATTTGAGAAAAAAAAAAGAATTATATATGTACACACACACACACACACACACACATACACACAGTGCAGCTTGAAAATTTGTGAACCCTTTAGAATTTTCTATATTTCTGCATAAATATGACTCAAAACAATCAAAGTTTCACACAAGTCCTGAAAGTAGACAAAGAGAACCCAAACAAAGAAATTACACAAAAATATTTTATTTGCCATTTATTTATTTATGAGAAAAATTATCCAGTGTTACATATCTGTGAGTAGCAAACGCATGTGAATCTTTGCTTTCAGTTTCTGGTCTGACCCCCTTTTGCAACAATAACTGCAGGTAATGTTTCTTGTAACTGCTGATCAGTCCTGCACACCATCTTGAAAGAGTTTTAGATCATTTCTCAGTACAGAACCGCTTCAGCTCTGTGATGTTGGTGGGTTTCCTCCTATGAACTACTTGCTTCAGTTCCTTCCACAAAATTTAGTTGAATTAAGGTCCGGACTTTGACTTGACCATTACGAAACATTCGCTTTGTTTTTCTTTAACCATTCTTTGGTAGAACAACTTGTGTGCTTGGGGTCGTTGTCTTGTTGCATGACCCACTTTCTCTTGAGAATTAGTTTACTGACAGATGTCCTGACAATTATAATTCATTGTTCCATCAGGCCCAATCCATGATACCAGCACCACTGTGTTTCACAGATGGGATAAGGTTCTTATGCTGGAATACAATGTGTTCTTGTCTTCAAAAATAAAGCTTCTCATTTAAACCAAAAAGTTATATTTTGTTCTCATCTGTCCACAAAACATTTCTCCAGTAGCCCTCTGGCTTGTCTGCATGATCTTTAGCAAACTGCAGACTGGCAGCAATGTTCTTTTTGGATGCACCACGCACACCGTAGTTGTTCAGTGTTCTCCTGATGGTGGACTCATGAACATTAACATTAGCCAATGAGAGAAAGGCCTTTAGTTGCTTAGAAGTTACTCTGGGTTCCTTTGCAACCTTGCAGACTATTACACATCTTGCTTTTGGAGTGATCTTTGTTGGTCAATCACTCCTGGGGAGGGTAACAGTGGTCTTGAATTTCCTCCATTTGTACACAATCTGTCTGACTGTGGATTTGTGGAGTCAATACTCTTTAGAGATGTTTTTGTAACATTTTCTAGCCTGATGAGCAACAGCAACTCTTTTTCTGAGGTCCTCAGAGATCTCCTTTGTTCATGCCATGATACACTTCCACAAACATGACCAGACTTTGATAGATCCCTGTTCTTTAAATAACAGGGCACACACTGACACCTGATAGTAATTTCACTGATTGAAAACAACTCTGAAAAACAGATGGACTCTAATTTCACCTTCAAATTAACCCCCTGGGGTCGACAGTTCCGCCAGCGGAACTTTTTCTTTCAATAAAACAGGGCACGCACTGACACCTGATAGTAATTTCACTGATTGAAAACAACTCTGAAAAACAGATGGACTAATTTCACCTTCAATGACCTACCAATCCTAGAGATTCACATACTTTTGCCACTCACAGATATGTAATATTGTATCATTTTCCTGAATAAATTAATGACAAAGAACATATCTTTGTCTCACTTGTTTGATTGGGTTCTCTTTGTCTACTTTCAGGACTTGTGTGAAAGTCTGATTATGTTTTGCGTCATATTTATGCAGAAATATAAAAAATTCTAAAGGGTTCACAAACTTTCAAGCAGCACTGTATATACATACACTGATCAGGCATAACATTATGACCACCTTCTTAATATTGTGTTGGTCCCCCTTTTGCTGCCAAAACAGCCCAGACCCGTCGAGGCATGGAGTCCACTAGACCCCTGAAGGTGTGCTGTGGTATTTGGCACCAAGATGTTTGCAGCAGTCCTGTAAGTTACGAGGTGGGGCCTCCACAGATTGGACTTGTTCGTTCAGCACATACCACAGATGGTCGATTGGACTGAGATCTGGGGACTTTGGAGGCCAAGTCAACACCTATTCCTCATCATTTTTCCTTCTGGAACATCAGTGACCATTTGAACCTTTTGTAATAGTTGCGTCTGAGTCCCTCAGTTGTCCTCAGTGTGAAAGATGGATCTCAAAATCATACAGTCATTGTTGGAAAGGGTTCAAATACTAATATATATATATA